GCTACATTTTGCTTCAGGATGTTTTTCTTTAAACATTGGGTACAAAATTTTGACATGTAGTCTAGCATCTAGGTAATAGCTTTACCCGCATATTTGCTCTGTTTCACCGGATAACTTTCGATATGTTCTTTTATCAAAAGTCTTACATTGCCCCTGATTGCATTCGTGTCTAATATTTTCCCTCGAAGGTCCTTTTGTTGATTTTCCTAATACCAATATGGAGCGCAATCGTCGAATACAACAATTTTTAATACCAAAAAGGCTTTTAAAGGCATCTACAAATACTTTTTCTTTGGCATCCCCACCAAAACCTCGTATGTAAATAAAAAGTCACGAGCTACTCTTCCTTCGGCACCTTCCTTTCTGGGTCGATGAGTTTTCACCTTCATGTTTGTAATAAATATTGAGGTATGCTGATATAAATATTGAGGTAGGCCTAAATGCCATAGCCAAACTCTAAAAAACGAAGTTTTAGTAATTTGGCTATAACATTTAGCTACTGTTTAAGGTCAATTCACTAGCCTAAATGGAACGATATGGAACGTGTTGGATTAGTTTTGTCTAAGACGTTTTTATGAAAACATGTTGTATGATATGCTATAATAGGCCTAAACAAACTGTTAAAAGGCTAATTGGGTATTGAAGTTGCAATACAAATCTCACCTGCAATCAGTTCCAACAGTAGTAGCAGGTACAGTTCTTCCTTTGTAGTAAATGTACTCTTTACCTTTCACTCTAGCTTCTTTAACAACGTTCCTTTTCCACATAGCCTCATTTTTAACCTTTCTTTCACTGCTAGTACTAGGTTCTTCATCCATTTTAAGTCTTTTTCATTAAAACAATGAGATGAATAATAAAATAAGCCCAAATAACCTCAAACTCGTAACCAAAACAAAATAAAAATTGGATTAAAAACATCTGACAGCTACCAGCAGAACACAGCTGGTTTACTCAGTACTGCCAACGGAAACCTTCTAAGCCACTGACCTAGAACCTTTTAGTTTACAGACAATATTTTAGCTTTCTATTCAACGTGTACTATACAATAGTGGAACTGTCTTCAAAGAACAAATTTTCATCAAAAAGTCAAATATTAAAAAAAAAATGACTTAGAACGTTTTTGTATACATTGATTCTATTGCAAACAAGCAAAAAAAAAAAAAAAAAATTTATAAAAAGAGTAAAATTTAACTATTTTATTTATTTAAAATAAAGGTAAAATAAGGTAAAATGCAAGCATATTTTTTGAATGTTATGCATAACATTCAAAATATTCAAAACAAAAAATAACAAAACTTTGAATTGTTATTATAAGCAATATTAAGATTTCTTTATCCCAAAAAAAAATTGAAAAATTAAAAAATTAATATTGTTTATAATAACAATTCAAAGTTATGTTATTTTTTGTTTTCAAAAAAAGTTTAAGAAATAATTTTATAAATGTTAACTAGTAATTAACTAGGAAAAACTATATCATAAACTAAAATGTTATACTGATGAGCTGTTCCGCTTTGAATTTTTTAAAAAACGGCTATTTTCATAGCCACAAGTTATTAAAATATCTATTAAAATAATATGTTGAGGAACTTTGTAAGAAACCATAGATCAAAGAATCAGCTGAAAGCAGATTTGTTTATTATTTTAGAAAGTTTATATTCAATGATATTGATTATTATTAAATCGTGTTTAAGATATAGTTTGTAAAATACTGTCAAATATTGGCACTTTTTTTCTATTTTTTGAATAACATTATACGAACTTTACGCAATTTACCGGATTAGTCTGAAATTAGTCCGGATGAACAAAAATAAAAAATACAATAAACATTTATTTTTTTTATAAAACCAAATAATTTTATTTTAAATATAGAAATATAAACAAAAAATCTTGAGAAAAATTAGTTCAATATGTTGAATGCTTTTCTATTTATAAGCCTATTTCCTCATTTTGTATTAGAGCGACGCATGCTCGGAGCAGCGATACTATTTATTTACGCTATACTAAAACGCTAAAAATTTGTCGTTTATTGTTTGTTTTAATTAGTTTTCTTAACGATTTCTTCTATTTACGTAGTTCGTTTTAACTATTTTTTTTAACGATTTTTTTTATTATTACCGCTGACCTCGTGTTTGTTTTGCGCGGACACACACACAAAAAAAAAACTAAAACATAACCGACAAGAAAGCGTGTTAAACAAAATGTCGCAATAATAATAGAATAAACTTTTAAATATAATAGTTCAGTCAGAGGCGTAGCAAGGGGAGGCCAAAAAGGCGAAAATATAATAAAAATAAATGAATTCACAACTCAGATCCAGAGCCAACAGTGACTAACAGTCATACGACTACAAGATCCCACAATGAACTTTAAAGATGCAGCATTTGATATGAAAATATTGGAAAATTATGTCAAAGAATTTTGTGATCATTTGTGCCAAAATGCAATTGAGTATAACAAGGGCAGATGTATGGAATGGGGGGTTGAAGTTGAGAGGAGAGTCAGGCGACGGCGAAAAATGCCAGGTGAAAGGGCTGGAGATAGTGGCCTCTCCGCTGAAGATAAAGTTAGCAGAGTTTTGAAAATGATATTGATCGTTTCAAACAAGAACTAACAACTCGCTTTAGACAATTAAATGATCTCAATGAAAAATCTGGATTCCTGCTCGATGTGAGAATATTACTAAAGAAGAATGGTAATGAAAATCAAGAAAGTTTGTAGTAACATTGTTTGGATCTGGGAAACCTTTGCAGTACAGATATCAGTGGAGCAGAATTATTTATTGAAATCGCAGACTGTCAGATGCTGCTTAAATCTCGTGGGGCCCAATACCAATAACTCCGCTGGAATTACTTTCATTTATTTTGTCATACGGAGATGACATTTTTACAAACTTATGCATTGCATTACAAATCTTGCTCACAATTGCAGTGTAAATAGACAGCTGCAAACGTTCCTTCAGCAAGTTGAAACTTATTCTTTCATATCTAAGAGCTTCAATGGGGCAGCAACGTCTTGTTAATTTGGCAAACCTTAGTGTCGAAAGAGAAAATCTAGAATCAACAGACTTTGACGACATAATTGATAAATTTGCTGCAGTTAAAGCTAGAAAAATCAAATTATAATTTATAAATAGTTATTGATTATTGGATCTGATCTGCCACTTTCAACGACTAATTCACATGAACCATAATGGATACGTAATTGAAAACATGAGTTAAATTGAGTTTGCGTTATGATTAGCATTTGCATTTTTTATACTAAAATTGTCATATACTTGGAAACATTAAATTTTTTTTCAGTTCACATGTCTGCTTCAAGGGGGCGTCATTTTTCAGCGTAACCCTAGCTACGCCTCTGAGTTTAGTAAACTAAAAAATTGACAGGTCTGCACAAGAATCATTTCGTTATTATAATTTATAATGATAAATGAATTATAAAATAATCGAATGATTTCGAAACTTTGTGTGATTTGTTATTAACATATGTTTTGCTGCTATAATTTAAACAAAATTCACGTGTTTAAAATTTAAACTGTGATTCAATTTTTTATAAAGTTTTAAATAATTGAAAGCGTTAAAACAAACTACGTGATTTAATATATATTGATAAATAAATTTCTGTTAACAAATTATTGACATGATTATTGCTTTTATTTGACCAAATATTGGGTCGTTCAGACAATAAAAGGGATTGATGAAAAGTTGTGATAAAGTGATGAAGAGAAAGATTATAACAATAAAAAACTTAACTATATTTGTGAGTCAGTAGGCCTACAGTAGGCCTACTCACCAGGATATTTCTGGGATCCCGGTGGGCCAGTCGAGCACTGTTGTTAATTATCTATTTAGAAATATAGGGGATAGCGGGGTAGGTTGTCACGCGGGTTGGTTGTCACAAAGTTTATTACAGGAAATGTAAATAAGATATAGAAATTTCAAATCATACAATGGAAATGTTATATAAAAAAAATATTTTTACAGTAATTTTCATTTTTTTTTAGCGGGTAGAAGAAAAGTTATTCGTTTTTATAGGTTTTTGATATGAAAAAGTTAAATTTCGCCTACTCGGAAATTTTCTTTTACCAAACGAAAATTATTTTATTGTGTTTTGAATGTAGATTTATAAAGTACTTTATTCATTTGAGTAACTTAATCCATAAAAAATTATCATGAAATTCTCACGCTTTTAGGTAAATGTACAGGTGTCCAGCAACTTACTCAGAAGGGGTTGCTTGTCACAAAATATATGGGGATGGTTGTCACAATTGCCTCGACTCCATGCGCTGCAAATTAAACGCCGCTTGCAGATTATTTAGTGGCTTTATTTATTTGTCCGCATTATTTAAATGTTTAAGATATTATTTAAAAATCTAAAGTCAAAGTGTTATATTTGTTTAACTAAATATCTGTAATCTAAATTATTTTTATTTCAACGTGCATAACTTTAGATTGCGATCCAATGTTTAGCATAATTAAAGAAAAAGGATTACAGAAGTTCAACTGTTTATTGTTTTGTTTACAAACTAAACAACTAGCTGTTGTTTAGTTTGTAAAACTGTCTGTTGTTTTGTTTGTGCATTGTTTATATTTAGTGGGTTTATATATATATATATATATATATATATATATATATATATATATATATATATATATATATATATATATATATATATATATATATATATATTTTAATGTTTTGTTTACATTATTTGCAAATATTTTTCTTTGCTTAGTAATAAACATGGTACGAAATTTTAAAAGAAAAACTAATAGAGGTTATACTTCTGGAGATGTCATAATGTGTGCTGTTAAAGATGTAAAGATTAATAACATTTCTATTAGATTAGCAGCAAAAAACCATGGCATTAATTACAGAACATTAGCACGTTATTGTAAAAAAATTATTATTACCAACCCATCACATGGTTCTATAGCAGATCTAATTGACAAAAATGAAAACCCCACCTCCCTGAATGTTATAGGACACAAAAGTCGATTGATATGCCAGAAAAAGTAGAAAAAGAACTGGTCACCTACCTGTTGCGAGCAGCAGATATACATTTTGGTTTAACTCCTACCGAAGTAAAAAAACTTGCTTTCCAGCTAGCAATTAAAAATAATATGAAGGTTCTCAATTCTTGGGTTGCAAAAGGAACAAGCTGGTAAGGATTGGTTTACAGGGTTTACATTGGTTTATAAAGCGCCGTTCAAATATTTCCATTAGGCAACCTCAAGCTACTAGTTTAAGTCGAGCGACAAGTTTCAATAAGCAGAATGTTGCATCATTTTTTAGCAATTTGCAGTACTGTATGCAAAAATACTCGTTCTCACCAAATGACATTTGGAACATGGACGAAACAACTGTACAGCAACCTAAAAAGGTTATTGCGAAAAAAGGATTAAAACAAGTAGGAGCCATCACGTCAGCTGAAAGAGGAACTCTTGTAACATTAGCATGCACAATAAATGCTATTGGAAATAGCATTCCACCTTTTTTATTTTTTCGTAAAAACTTTAAAGATCATTTCCTAATCAGTGCACCAACAGGAAGTGCAGGAGATGCAAATCCAAGTCGTTGGATGAAAGAAGAAAACTTTGTAAAATATCTAAAACATTTTGTAGGCAATACAAAATGTACTAAAGAAAAGCCTTGTTTATTGTTGCTTGACAATCACGAAACCCATCTTAGTATTGAAGGATTAGATTTGGCAAAAAATAATGGAATAGTAATGCTTACCTTCCCTCCACATTGCACACATAAGTTGCAGCCCTTGGATAAGGCAGTTTATGGTCCTCTCAAAAACTATATAAATACTGCTATGACATCATGGTTAGTAATGAATCCTGGAAAAACTGTTACAATATATGATATTCCAATAATAGTAAACATTGCATTTTAAAATGCTGTATCTCCTCACAATATTTTAATTTGTTTTGCTGCAACATGGTATTTACCCGTTAAATCCTGATACTTTTACTGAAATTGATTACTGTCCTAACTATGTAACTGATCGCCAAGACCCACCTTGTTTACAGGCTGATTCAAATAAAAAAGACAGTGAATCTTATTCAATGCAACCAGAACCAGCAAATAAAAGATTTAAAGAATCTATTCAGATACCAGATAATCAGGTAGACATAACAATAGAAGATCCAGTTGTATCAAATAAAACCTCTAATCAGAACCCAATCACTACATTAGGTTTTAACAATTCAATCATACCACCTGAGAGTATTAGGCCTCTGCCTAAAGCAGGCCCGAGGTTAGCATCAAAAAGAGGTAGGAAAAAGCGGTCAACTATGTTTCTTACTAACACGCCTGTCAAAGCATGGCTTGCTAATTATAAAAAGAAGAAAACTAATAAAAAAAATTTTATTAGGAATTGTAAATCATTTACGAATGGAAGTAAAAAAGAATTAATAAAAGCAAATCTTACTACGAAAAAACCTTCTATAGTCTTAAATTCATCTGAAGATGAAGAGTATCTATGCATCTATTGTTTTGAATCATTTTCTAACAGCAGATCAAGAGAACAGTGGATTCAATGTCAGGTTTGCCAAAAATGGGCTCATGAAGAATGCACACCAGGCTTACAACAGTTTGTTTGTGAATTGTGTTCTTTATCCAATAATTTTTAAAAAACCAAATTTAAAAACATTTATAGTGATAAACTAAATTTGTTAAATGTGTTATATTTAAGATATATATATTTCAGTTTATAGTATTTTATTTTTATTTTTCTTAGTAAAACATAAACGAAATTAATCTGTACTCGTTTTACATTAAATTCTTATCTAAACTTGTCAAAATCCAAATGTGACAATCAACTCCGCACCATGTGACAACCTACCCCGTGAGCGGGGCTAGTTGTCACACAGAAGCGGTCTTTGAAAAAGGATTTTACAGCAATAAATATTTCACTCAATGTCATAAAAGTATTATAATAGTTACTGGAAATAGTTAAACTAGCTTTGTGCAAAGTTTGGCATTGATTGGATGAAAATTAAAAGCTGAGCAGCCTAAAATGTAAAATGTGTGACAACCAACCCCGCTCTCCCCTACCCTAAAAATTTTCCGAGATCCGGTCAAGACAAATTGTTCTCTGATAAAAATCATTTTTAAAGATGGTTTTTAAATAACTAATAATATTGTTAACAAAATAATCTTTAGTTAAATAAAAAACATATTACTTTCTTCATTTAACTAATTTATTTATTTATTTTTTTTAATGTAAAAGTTTGTAAATAGTATATTATTTTTTTTTATTTTATTAAATTTCGTAACTATTATTTTCATAACATTCATTGTTTTTTAAAATCCATCTTTACAATGACATTATTTTAGAACTTGAAGCTCGAATTAAATTCTCAGCATATTGTATTTAATGAGTTATTACTTGATTCAAAGTAAATCAAATTAAATATCACAAACTTAGTCAATAAAATATGATTTCAAAACGGCTTGATTGGAAACTGGGTGAGTATCTGGAAAGATAAGGTTTGAAATTTTTTCGGACAATATCAAATCTAATAACTTTATATTTTCTGAAGAAATTTTTAATTAACAATAATAAAAAAACTATTCGTTGTAAATATAATTAGTTGGTTGAGTACTTAAGTTGAGTTATGTAAGTTAAGTCGCACAATATTTAATTGAGTAATA